CGTCTAAATATGATCAGTGTGATAAATGTTAGTAGAAAAATAGCAGGAAAGCATGCAAGGCTGCTTAAATTGACCATAAGTTGGAATGAGAGAGCACAACTGGATGAATAGCGGCCTGGTGTGTATCAAATGATGCACAACTCGAAATCAGTTGTTTGTGACTTGCAGTATATGCACATGCAAATTGTGAAGGAAGTTAGCGATTTGCATTCTGCGAACGATACAACACAGATTAAGTGTCATTTTAAGTGACTAATTCATGGCTTATGCACAGTGTTTCATCAAAATGAATTAGTGCATCTGTACCAACATGGACGCTTTTGAGACACCTTCATAATACTGGGCAGAGTGATGAGGAGGCTTTAATCTGTGTTTTAAGTTCTGAGTTACGAGATGTGGAGACTCCTATGTCATGCTAACCACTGCTATCGCTGCTGCTTAAACGTGCGTTTAAATTAGGCCTCAATGCAATTTTCAAGCTGAGGAAGAAGAATAAGCGAGTAAGAGCCCGATTTCTGGAATGGATATGCAATTGGCCACAAAACGGAGGGTTCCAAAAGTCACGCAAATTACCCCTTCTCTAACTGATGACTGTATGCATGGCCATATTTGACACTGCATGCTTAACCAACTCATTAATAGCACCTTAGATTTATCTACTTCCAATGCCTGATTTTCCATTTCAGCACACCATCCTACATCTTAACTTACTACAGCAATATGCACGAAAATTTTGTTCTTGCTTCACCATCTAACAGGCTGTGTTCATCAGAAGGAAAAGAGACGGCGATGAAAAAGGGGTTTTGTTAAAGTATAATATAGGCAAGGAAACAGATATAGTAGAGTTCATCATAAGTCCAGACAGGGCTTGGGGTGTTATTCTTAGTGCCATTTTTCCACGTAGAACCAAATCCATCCTGTATTTTGTGGAAGACACCTTTATTTACTATACCACTGAACACATGACAGCCTGTTCGCTACCAAGAGAAAGCGTGTACGATATTTGCAATGTCCTCTTCGAAGCTACGGGTGTACCCAGGAACATCCTCGAAGACCTGTACGCATCGCATAACTACGTAAACGACAATGAAAGTAAAGATCTTCGGGAGCTACTGAGTAAGCGTGGTGATACATTGCTATTACAAGGGGCTAACTAGGAAGCATCAAGCGTCGTTGCAATTATAATTGACGCCGGCGAAGCTAGGTTAGTCTTTTAGCCACTCAGATGCATACCACACACTGCTGGAAGAGGTGTACCATCTGCTGAACGAATTGAGCAGAGGCAAGTTCATATAGCCACCAAAGTTACCGTGGATCGTACCAATCCCTCTGGTAAAAAGGACAAAAAT